TATTTATAAAGCAATCGCATTTCTGGCTAGTATATTTCAGGACGAATGGATAAGGATTTAGCTAAAAGCTTGTTTTTGCATAATGACGATGCGCGGTTGTGTACTTTAACCGACGACATCATTTCATAATCCAGTAGATAATTTCAGGAGTTAAAAGCACTTCCGAAAGGCCTTCCGCTCCACATTCCTTTCTCCTTCCTTTTTTGTGTGGACTGGCTTCTTATTTCGCTACCCATAGAGGGTCTTCCAGAAGGGCTTTTATAGGACGTACTTCAGAAGGCCTTTTTAAGGAGTTCATTCAAAGTTGATTCTTTGATTTATACAATTCATACATCTCTAAAGTACTTGTTTAAGGTTTATATCAAATATGTGTTATTGCAAATTAAAATGTATATTGAAATTCATTTGTAATGCTAAATGGATGAGCGCTTCTGGAGGGAAGCATTTTTCAGCCCAAGCAGGGGAAACCCTCTTCTGTGGCTGACTGAACTCCTCCTGTCGCTGCATTCAGTAGACTTGGGCCGCTAACTGAATGCAGCGACAAGAGGAGTTCGGTCAACCACGGAACCCCTGCTTGCATATTATATTTTTTTATATATATTTTTCATAGTTCTTGCATATTTTTTGCATAAATTTTGCATATTCAATTTGGATAAAAATCCGAGCTCTACTCATAACTGTGGTTCTATCAGAGGCAAACATTCAGCTCCGGTGTAATTTATAAGAGTATTTTATATATTACTTCAACGCCATTTTCAAATCTAAAACGGTAAAAAGTTACGCGGAAAAACAGCAAAACTTAGTTTGAATAATCCATAATCACTGACGTTTCAGCTAGTTTTTGGATTACAGCGAGCGACTATTGTTTCAGAACGGATAAAAAACTACAGCAGCTCTAATTATGATATATTTTCTTCTGGAAAATACCCAACAGATATAGCGATTTTGACCATATACCTACGAAACTATGCATAATCACCAAAATCAAAAGTTCCTAAATCAAATCGTCTCTTTTACATATCAATTTTGAATATAACTTTTTAGAGGATATAATATGATTTTTTTTCAGACACGCGAATCCCGCGGAATTGGTGGAATTGGTTATTTGAAATTAAGCTTGCTCTCTTGTGATGCATTTTGGATATAGTTCCCGGTTTAAAAGTCAAACTTATCTGTTGAGGAAAAAAACCTTTTACCAAAAACATGTTATTTCTTTTAATTATCAAAAAAGGGATATTCATGTAAATAGTAAGGCTTTCGAAAACATCAATTTGTAAAGCAGGAGACAAAAATGTACATACTTACATATTTTGCCAAAATTCCCTTATTTCCAAAATAGGGGGACTACTACAAACTTTGCTGTATTCGAATCGCCTCAAATGGTCATAAAAGGGTTAAACACACAAAGAAATCATTGGTGAATTCACTTGTATCCTTTGTAAAGTCTCGGCTTATAGTTCTGATAATTCGTAAATTTCATAGTGCACAGAATAAGAAAATATGATAAGATTGCGGAGGTATGTGCAAGCAATTTGCGTGCTAATATTTTGATAGCACAGCTTTTGTGTAAATTCAGCTTTGTTATGGTGTTTTGCTAAATTGCAAAGAGCATCATAGTAGCCGCCTTGCTGTTTGGCATAACTAATTATTTAAGTAAAAACTTCACCAAAAGAAAATGTTTATCTTTGTAAAAATTGCAGGTAAAATAGATAGAGTTACGAGCATCTCAAAGATGTCTAAAAATTTTCTAAACTCGTTTGCGTAAAATTTAAATCTTAAAATATTCGATTCACTTTACAGCGAAAAAGTGCGTAAAACTCTTCCCTCAGTTACTTCATTCGATTTATTAATCAACTTTGCGCAAATTTTGCTAATAACAACAAAAATAACGATTTCTATTAAGTAGCGCACGCCCTTCGCAGTCAAAACTTTTACTGCGTGGACGTGCCACACATAAGTTTAGCAACATGCATTCAACTGCTTGCCCATTGTGTGCCAGGGGGAAAGCGTTAGTTAGGCATCCACTCGGTCGGCAAACTTGTCGCAAACAATAATAAAACAACATGAAATGAGTTCAGCAACTGGCGGCAAAATAGAAAGAGTACAAAAAATTGCAGCAACTTTGAGCTGTCAATAATTTTACCTACATACATATGTATGCATGTATATTGGGCGTACGTGTATTGGCATGCATGCCCCGCAATGTCGCGCAATCGAATATACCACAGCAAACAAACAGCAGCGATAAAGTTGCCACAGCTACAACAAAATCACAATAGGAAAAACAAAATTACCCGGTCACATGCAAAGTCAGGCAGAAGTGACAGAGATGCCGGAGAGTCAGTGGGCGGGCAAGTAACCTAGGAATGGAGTCTCCTTGCAGGCGCACAAAGTAGGCGATTTCAAAATGGTTAAAAACTTTTCTTGCTAATAAGCCAAACTGATGCTGTCGCCGTCACAGTCACCGTTACAGTCGAGCTGCCAACAACAAATATGAAACGCACCGGCGAAGAGCTAAAGAACAGCATTACGCAAATGAATAGGCAGCGCGGGTAATGTTACTCATATTCCTTTTACACATTAATTCAAATTTGTTTGCGTAGCAGTGTTGCCAGATCTTCGGCATGAGAAAACATCGCTCTTGGTCTGAAATAAAATTATAGTTTAAAAAACTAAAACCTCCCTATTATAATTGCCATTCGTACTGTCATCAGGTATGTAACTTGAGAATAGAAATCGCTGCATCTTTTAGGCGCATCAATATTACATAGTTACATCCCGAGCTAATAAAAGGAAGGTAAAAACGTCATTTTCTACCCAAAAATGTCTTTTTCAAATGCATGCCCACAGAATTGTTCTTATTAAACTTTTATTGTATACAAAGGTACATACATATATTAAAATGTCATCTCGACAGAGCACATTTAAAATTCACTGGTTTGAGATCGTTAATATAAAAATCATTTTATACGTACACTTGTGATCAGCTGATTAAGATTTATTAAGAAAATAATTCAATATTTGTTCAACTTACAAGATTTAGTAACAGAGAAACATTACAATTATTTTTTACACAAAAAACGTCCGAACGTCAACAGGATACAAAAAAACGTGCAAATGACGGTAAAAACGGCAACCTGGCAACACTGTTGCGCATAGAAAATTCTTGAAGCAGCCAGTTGGTAAAAAAAACAGACGGCGGAGTAACTAGGTGCGGTATACATACATATGTACAGATATTTCACCCACATTTCGTTTAAAGTACAAAACCGCGTATCAACAAAATTCAAAACCGCGTATGTGAGGTATCATAAATTATTTTCTAGAGAGTAAAAACACTAATATTTGAAAATGGTTCTCTTTTTATAAAGCAATTGCATTTCTTGGTAGAATATTTCAGGACGAATGGATAAGGATTGAGCCAAGAGCTTGTGTGAGCAAATCCAATTTTTGGCAGCAAATGTCAGTTACGCGGTTTTGCAGAATGACGTTACGCGGTTTTGTACTATAAACGACGAAATATAAGTGCGGGATGCGGAGTAATGCGAAAATGTCAAAAATTCTATGTAAGTTTGGGAGTAGCGCGACAATTGCAATTTAATTTATGCCTCGCAATATCTCCGACAACCCACTGGGAGAGTGACGGAGCAAAATCCCGATATGTTTTTGCAGTGATGAGGTCTAATATTGAAATGACTTAAGAAATAGCAAAAGAGGCATTGAGCGAGCGAAGCACCAGCTACTGGTTGCGAGACGTGGTCCGAATAGTCTGATGAGGTAAAAAGTTGCCAATTTAGCATTGCGTATTGATTTGTAGCGTTTGCTAGGATTTAAATAAACCCACCAGCAAAATTAAGCCCACCGATAGGCTGTGTGGGGGTCGCATGACTTTCACGTTCTGTTGATTCGATTGTGGTGGTGAACTCATTAACTTGTTTACCTTTTCCAAAGAAGAAGAAGCGAGAGGCAAGGGGTATTGTGGACGCCTCCAGCCGTAGCGTAGGGGGTTGTGTTCACTATTCCCGCCTGCCAAGTAGTATATAACGAACAGCAGCCAAGGAGTAACTTTCAACTTTTCGCTTTGATACGCGTTTCGATTTCGTTGCTTTCTATGAACTTTAATTAGCAACAGATTGATCTAAAATTCATTTAAGTGAGGCATTCTCAGCATTGCCGAGCGAAGCGAATCGAGTGTGGTGCGGTAAAAGAACTTTCGCATTTTGTTCGCCTATTGAAAATTTTCCTTTAGAATAGGAACGAAAGAGGGCGAGCTGATAAGCACTCGAACAATGTAAGCATTTTGTTTTCTACCCACACCAAATAAATTTGCGATAAATAGAAAATAGCGAAATTCATTTGCCAAAATAAGCAAACAACAGGCCGCTAACCAACAACAACTCCTACGTTGGGCCTGAGCCTGGCAACACAAAAATGAAAATAAAAATGCAGCAGCTACTAAGTAGCTATGAATGCCAGTCATAATTACGGCGTAATAACCGCGGGTGTGACGACCGACAAAAGCTTGTGTACAGCATAGCACCACTCCTTCAAGTCTTCTCCCTTTCATAACATCGGATTTTCCATCGCCAAGAACGGGTATCTTGTTGCTAATTAATTTTCGCTAAATAGGCATAAATATTTGAGGGAAATTAGAAAAACAATGTTGAATAGGAAATCAAGGGAGTGACATTCACTACAGTGGAAATTCGGATGAAGGGTAAAGGGAATACTTTTCGTTTGCGAAATTTTGGACCGGCAAAGTGATAAAGGCTTTTGGAGATTTTGTGCGTTGAGTTGAGTTAAATATCCATTAGTTTAATAAACAATTTGAATAGACCAAAAATGAAGTGGATTTCTGCAAATGCATTCTCAAAGTGTGAACCGGGAAAAAGTGGAAATTCTGTGGCACAAATGAATTGTTCAAAGGAAAGGGGTAATCAAGTAGCCTTTTAAAGTGGTTAGACAGTAATTAAATTAGTTAAATTAAATGGTGGACTTACTAATTCTAGCGGCATTTGTATAACGGGGTAATAGAGTTGAGGACTCACCTGAAATGAAAAAAAGAAAAACGTGGTTATTATTGTGAAAATAAAAATAGAAAGAAGATAAATATTTACTTACATATATGTTAAATGCTTCTTGCATGAGAATAAAAATACAAATACGTGACGATAATAAAGTTTTGGGACAAGCTTCCACAGATATAAGTCAAATTGGGTCGCTAGTATAGTAAATCATAAATCCTTTTAATGAAAAATGCCAGATTTGTAATATTTGTTATATGTTTATATCAACACCTGAGCGAAAGATCGACCTATATGGGCAGCCAGTTCGAAAAAGTCCCATCTCAGACAACTTTTCAAAAACACCCTATTTCAGAATTCGATTGACGAATGCCCTAATTCAGAATTTGATTAAAAAACGGCCTATCTCAGAAAATTTTTCAAGAACGCCCTATCTCAAAATTCGGTTCAAAATATGTTTTTGAATCGGCAGCTGAGATAGGGCATTTTTGAACCAAATCTTAAACGTTTCTGAAATTTCATCGTAGAAAACGGGGCGCTTTCTCAGTTTTTCCTTTTGGTAGTTGACATACTACCTATAAAAACTTTCAATTTCTACTGTAACCAATAAAGGTTGCTCAATGATCTTGAAATGCGCTACTGACTCCATTTGAAACAGACAAAACGATCGATAATTTTTTTAAAAAGCTACTGTTGCCATATCAATGAACCGTGTAATGTTTTTTCAGCTAATTTAAGTTTGAATTTCTTCTAGAGTAAAATATAAAGATTTCTTCAACATCTTCTAAATTTATACCTATAAAAGTAAGGTATGGTGCCAGCACCTATTCCAGCAAGAGGGAAAATTTTGGAATGTGCCCCGAACCCCATCTTTGATTTTTATTTGGACCAGTCTTATATATGTACATAGGTCATAATACCATAATAAATAAATACAAATAATTAATAATAAAAGTAAAGGCAAAAAAATTTAAGAAATTCGCAAACTAATAACATTCTCTGAGACTTTGGAGAAAATGTATGCATTTTTGAGAAATTTAATTCCAATCTGTTTCCTAAAATTCGTCAAACCTACCGTACGACATTAATTTATCCATTCGGCGGTAAGTGTATGTATATACATATGTACATACATATGCTTTGATATAATATAAATTATTGTAAGATTAATAGCGTACGAACATACATAAAATGACATAACGCATGAACTCACATAAAATCATAAGAAAGCCTAACGTAACAACAAATAAAAACTTATAAGATGCTTTTTACAGTTGTTGGAATAGTTTTTGAAACTTTATTTTTTAATAATGCCATCCAGGAAAAAAAATTATTCCTCAAAAATTATTACATACATATGTATGTTTGTATCTCAGAAGTAAGAATTTATGAGAAACTACTATTTTTAGTTTTCTACATAAAAGTCCACTGTACACTTGAATACCTATCAGAGCTCGTTTAAATTAAGCTTTGAGTAATTATGCAATAACATCCAATTAGAGCTTGACACTTGATGCCTACAAAGCATTACATACACACATCCATAGATATGAGAAATATGTACGTACTTTTTTATGTACTTTTGCATGTATGAGGATAAAGAAACCCTGTAGGAAAACGCAACACAGTTACTACCTTTGTACATACAAACGTATGAATAAGTCGACTGGTTTTCAATTCGCTTGCAGCCACTTGACATTTTGGCTCACACTCAATTTAAAATCGGTTGTTGATTTCTCCAGTTAGAAGAGTGTATAAACATCATTAAAACTCAAAACGAATTGAAGGTTAGCTGTTTCGATCAAAATGGCATTTGAATAAGGTTACCATAATTTCTTCAATTAAGTATTTTTTTTTTTTCAATTTATGGGCAAATAAAATATTAACTAATTTAATAATACATTCCTTAACAAATAATTTATCTCAAACAAAGCTTAAATGGCACCACTCGAATGACGAAGTTGGGCGTTATAAAACCCCTTGCCATTACGTTAAGAAAAATTGTCATTAAATTCGCTTCACGTCGCGTTTTTTTAAATGGCACATATTTTTCGTCATTACAATGCCTAGTGGAAATTCACTTCTTAGAAGATCAAGCACCAAAACGGCATGAACATACTCGTATATCCATGCAAAAAAATCGAACAATAACCGATAGAGGGAAAAGTGTTCTCGTGCACTTCGGAAGATCCTAGATTGGATTAGAAAAAAATATGTATATAAATTTGTTTTAAAATTATATTTGCATTTATCTTATACAAAAAATGAATCGTTTGGCCATTTCGTTATGCTTGTCTTCATGTCATTACAAAAAACGGAGAGGGGCCTGACGTTTTACGCCGACTCCGAACGGCAGTGGGCTTTTTAAGAAAGGCTTTCAATGCCGCATGCACAATGTAATGTTTGCTGATGGGCGGCCGGACAAGAAATCAAGCCTAGGTCTTACCGGGAGGAAGAACGCAACCCTAAACACTCCTATTTAAATTTCACTACTATTTGCTAGTTCTTTTAGTATCGGACCAGAAGTTTACTAAAAATTTGTTGTTAACTACAGCTTTTCCTGCAGAGTTCAAAGTACTTTAAACAGATGCATAACAAGTTCAATGACCATTTAATTTAGTGTTGCAACAATTGCACCTACAACAACAATCACATTAAAATTATTTGAATGCAGTTAAATATACACTGTATGCGGCAAGTCGCATTCGTAAAATTTTAGCAAACATAAAAAGAAATGTGAAAAATATATAAAGCCATTAATCTAGTTTTTTTAATGATTCAACTTTGAGTGCATATTACAATATATAAAAACTCTCAACTGTATATACATATTTATGTAGGCGGCCGCTGTTGCTGAGTGGTTATAGGTGAGTACTACCATACCACAGTATCTGGGTTCGATCCCTGGTCAGAGCAGCATCCAACATCTAAATTAGAAACAGTCTTTTTTTTAACAGCGGTCGCCCGTCGGGAGCCAATGGCATACCAGACTTGGACCACATTTCTGCCATCTATAAGATTCTCATAAAATACATTCTCCATCTATGTAACAACATCAAGACATGGACGACAAATTGGAGGAGAAACTTGGCCGAGCGCTTAGCAAAAGTGTAAGCGCCAAAATGAAATATATTTTTATAACGCATGTAGATATATTTCCATAGAAATTGCATAAATGCATGCATATATGTACATACATACATACGCATTTATGAATATCCACATACATACATATGTAGCAATTTGCTTTCGAGCTAAACGTGTTTGTATTGCTATTTGCTGCATGCGCGTTCCTTTGACTAACTAAATCCGACCATTAAAATATTAACTCGATTATCGACGCAGGTCAATAAATAAATCCCACTTAATTAAGAGATAAACAGAAACAATTATGATATTAATTACGCAATACATAAAATGCTCAAATAGCACATTTTACTTTACCTACGCAATGACAACAACAAGCGATAAGCTCGAATGACCAAAGTGTACAAAACACATAGTAGAGCAGCAAAGATTTATAGATTCTAGTGGTCACCAGCAATTGATATTGCACAATGTTTGACAGACATTTTTTGCCAATACTTCAACCTATTTTGTGAAGATTGCTGAAATGATAGTATCAGCATCCGGATAA